AAAATTAGAAGATAACATTTGACATATTGGTTGAAAAGCAAGAGTACCCCTAACCCTATGTCATAAACCTTTGTATTTAGAACACATATTAAGGAAAACCGTCTATAATTTAAAGTGGAAAAAATATATCCGATATACATACTAAATACAAGGTTAAGTAAAAATAATACAAAAAAAAAGAATATATATATATATATATATATATCATATTATAATATCCAGTATCAACCAAAAATAGAAAACACAATAGAGGTAAAACTAAATGACTAAATCATTAATTATTATACCAGGAAGTATTAATATTGCATGTTTCTTAAAGATAACTTATTTAAACAATACACATGTCAAATACAACACGTATCCAATATGGCGATGCGATTATTTTAAAATATATAAGATATATGTCAGATCATATGTATCAATATTCATGAAATATAATAAATGTGTAATTCTAATTTTGATCAAAATTCATAAACATTAAATATATAAATATATAATTGTTATTTTGCAAATCCAAATTAAAAACATACTTATTGTACATTACTAAAAACAAATAAATTACAAATCATTTCATCATAAATTACTTTTTATTATTTACAAATAGAAATAATATTTCAAATTTCATTTCTTTCTTAAAATTATCTATATATAAGACAATTTTCATTTATAGTTCATCAAGGGCCAATATGTTTCTATATTAAACATGTTTATATGTCTTATTTAGCTATAATGAATATTTAATAATTTTTTAAAAATTTTGATACTTTATCGACGTATCACGAATAAGTATATGTGAAGTATCCAAGAAAATCAGGAATGAATAAAATTTTCATAATATTTTTAAAGATTGAGATACTTTACTGATAAGTATCAATGAAATATACCAAAGTATCACATCAAATACGTATCAAATAAGAATACACAAAGCAAATTGAATTATTGGTGCTTCATAGTATCCAATGTACATACTAATTACAAGGTTAAATAAAAATAATACAAAAAAATGAATATATATATATATATATATATATATCTTATTATAATATCCAGTATCAACCAAAAATAGAAAACACAATAGAGGTAAAACTAAATGACTAAATCATTAATTATCATACCAGGAAGTATTAATATTGCATGCTTATAGATTACTTCGGCGTAATATGTTTATATATATATATATATATAAAAGGATGAATCTAGTGGAAGTACCTTTTTTATGTGAGTTTTATAAATATAATTATGTGAGGAATAAATAGAAGCATTAGACCTTGTCATGAATAGTGAAGATTAAAACAGATAAGTCATGTGAGTTTTATAAATAATCATATGACTTGCTTAAGTGATCACGTAACTTTAAAAAACTTTAAATCTTAACAATCCATCTATGAAGCACCAATACTAAAATTTATTTCAGGTATCTGTATTTGATACATATCCAATACTAATATTCTTGGATACTTCACCAATTCACTATACCGGTACGTATCAATAAAGTATTCAAACCTTTAAAAAATAATAAAAATCCAATACAGTTACATGAGACATATAAACATGTATAATACAGAAACATACAAACATTGTCTCTTAATGAACCAAAAATGGAAACTATTCTCTTTATGGATGATTTCACAAAAGAGATGAGTTTGATAGTATTATTCCTATTTGTAAATAATAAGTTATTTATGATAACAATGATTTATATTTTCTTTTTGTTTTTAGTAATGTACAAGAAGTATGTTCTTAATTTAGATTTGCAAAATTGCAATTATATATTGACTATATTTTATGAATTTTAATCAAAACTAATTATATATTTATTATGTTTTAGGAATATGATATACTTTAAAATAATCGTATTGCCCGTATCATATTTATGCATCATAGCAGTCCATGTATAGTTGCATTGCTCAAATTTGCTCCTCTCACTCTCATATAAAATGACTTCCTGAGGATACAACCTATCTTATATATATACAGAAAAAAAAAAAATACAATTCAGGCCAGAATTTACAGCACGTTACAGTACTTGAGCCACAGCACTAAGCACAAATTTGATTCTTAAATCTTAATCAAACAGGAGAAAAATGTAATGTGTTTATATAGCTGTTGGTCAAAAAGTATTCTCTTTGGTTCAAACACACACACACACACATATTCTTAATCTTTTATATTTTAAAGTATCAAACTCATGCTGATCATAAACATATTATGACTCAGATAAAACAAAGCGACAAAGTTTCCTCAAATGGAACTGTTACAATAAAATAGATAAACCAATCAGGTTAGATGCACAAACAATCACAGCAAGTCAAATCAAGGTTTTGGAGTCCTATAACCACATCCTATTTATATTGCATTTCATTCAAAAAAAAAAAATTGGCAATATGTACCATTTCTACCAAAAAAAAAAGCAAACTGGGCAGCCTAAGCTTTACTTAACAGGGAAATTCAAGGGGCAAAGAACTACGAGGAAAAAGTTTTATAGAAAGCAATTTTCTTTGATAAGCAAAAAAAGTAATGAATAAATTTATAAAACATAATACAGTTTTACATAGAAGGATTGGATGATTTATTAAATGGGTCATGGATGGATTGGATTTTACATGCATTTTCAAAATATTATAAAATGGATTAATGATTTAATTTTTACTCATCCACCATAATTCGATCCAAAATTTATCAAAACTGTCCATTTTACATCCCTAGTTACAACCTCATAATTTGTAAAATGTCTACGCAGATAGCACTAATTGACTACATTTCAAGAGATTATTGTAATGTCCTCCTCAAATCATCACAATCAAGCAACCCATGATAAGATTGACAAATTTTTCAAGTTGTAAGTGAGCTGACACACAAACACATGGATAAAAATAAGGGGAATTGCTGCCTATAACTCCAAGTTCAAGGCCTAGAAGTAGCTACATGAAAGGAAGCACATACCTCCGGAGAACCAGGGGCAATTCCAATCAAAACCAACCACTTTTCAGCAGGATCACAACGATAATTGATAATCTGATTATTCGCCAAATTAGCTGTTCGGTCAAACATCTTCACTGGCTCACCCTCACCTAAATAAGAGAAAAGGTAAAAAGTTAAACTCATAAAAGTTCCACCAATGGATCATAACATTGTATGTTACTCGCAGACAAACTTAAATAAAAAGCAATAAATATGAAACTTTACCTTCAATTGACCAATGATACACAGATGACTGAGTGACTATGCCTAGTGTCTTTGGGGTTATCCACTTCCAAAATACAACCTAAAGGAAATGGATCGCATTTCAATCAATCAGTTAATTCATTCATTAATTAGTTAATAAAGACAGACATATTATCAGGGAATCAAAATCATAAAAAAAAAAAAATGTTACAAATCTGCACCTGTTGGCTCATTTGATACGATTTTATCTTGGCTTTGGATTCAATGTTGAACACTTGCAAATGATCCTGCGTGGTGCCTGGAACTTGAGCTGCACGGAGAACAAACGGCGCATTGAATACACAAACAACGAGATCGAATTGGAATGGTTACAGTATGAGTATCATATCATACATCATATATGACATATAATGTAACGAGAGGTGCGAATGGCTGGCTACCTTTAAGCGCGAGAATTCTGGTGTTAGGGTTCATGAGAGCGGAATCGGCTGTGATAGGGCGTCGGAGAGGCTGCATGGGCATGGACATGTCGATCATGACGACGCTGTTCTGCGGCGCGGTTTCCCTGACGCAAATGTACTTGTCCGACTCCATGGTGACGTGCGTGAAGGTGATGAACTGCGGGTTGATTCCGACGCTTCCCAACTGCAAAAACGAGGAGCGCATCGGAGAGTGAGAAAACGTCGAAAGAATGCGCAATGCGGCGCGGCATTGGCGGAAAAAGGAGGAGGGAGCGGCGAGACGCGGACCGTTAAGGCTTCTCGCATGGCGATGGGGGCGTTGGCGGCCATGATCGAAGGGGAATTGGAGTGGCGAGGGAGATCTGAAGCAGCGAATGGTGTGTGAGAGAAGAAAGAGAAGAGAGAAAGAGAGGGAGAAGAAGAAGGAGAGTGTGTGGAATGAACACAACAAAGGAACACGCCACAACCACCAGGTGGAATGTGGAAATGCAAATGCAAGGATCCTTTCTAAAAATGTTTTTTTTTTTTTTTCTTTTTGCTGTCTCATCCTCGGACTCGGCGGGCCAGGGTGGTGGGCCTTCGGCCTACTAGGCCCAATCTATTTTAATCTATTTTTGTTGTGAAGGAATTTGGGTTGATAACATAGAATAGAATGTGTTAGTTAGAAGGTGTGATACGCATTTACATAAGAAGACTGCTGGTGAGTGGTGACAATCTTCCTTCAAATTATTTATAATCATATTATTAATACGTGAATTTCGTTAATGTCTCTCCCGTATTAATGATCCTTTGGTTCAACGTACAATCATCATTCTCTTGATGTTAACTGCATCTACATTTGCAAGTACGCAATATGTCACAATCACATCAAATTTTTCTCACAATGCCATGGAAATTCAAAATTATTAAACACAAAATATAAATATATATTTAAATACTCCAATAATAAACACTGTGATTTCAATAATTTACAGTACACCATGCAAATGTTTGTTTCTGTTATTAGTTTTTGCCCTTTTTTGTTATCAACATCTTCCCAACCACACTCTTCACTGACACTCTCACCCAAACATTCCAAATTTGTCCCAAAGTGAATTCCCTGTTCTGCCCTCCTCATCCCTTCATTAACGTCCTCACAACTGTCAACCGCCACCGCGGGTTCCGCATCCCAAGCCAATTCCCTCACCACAACCCAACCCTCTGTTTCCCAATTTACCCCTAACCTACTCTCCAATTTTCCAATTCTACCCCTCGCCCAAACTTCACTTTCAATTCCACTTTCTTCTTCTTCCTCGTCTTCCTCCTCGTCCTCGAACACCGAGTTAACCCGGTCCAGAACGCACCGAGGCGACGATTCCACATCCTTACCACATGCTAACAAAACCCCCCCCCCCCCCGCCGGCACGGTTCCCTTCTCAAACACTTCTCCAGGAAATCCCGGCCAAGCTCCGACAACCGCCTCGGAAACTCCGGCACCTCGCCGGAGAAACCTATCCGACTCAGCGCCTCGACGGCGGCGCTCCCCGGCCACGGCGG